CCCGGGTCCACCACCACGGCCCCCACGGCCCACAGGCCCTGCGCGGCCGCCTGCTGTGCAGCCCGCACAGCCCGCTCCATGTGGCCCTGCATGCGGGCCCGCTCCTGCGTTGAGAAGAGCCGGCCGGCCAGCGCGCGCGTCACCTGCTTGTCTTCGTGGAAGGTCGAGGGCCAGTGGGCCCGCGCTGCCTCGAACTGGGGCCGTGTCAGAGGGGGCCGGGCGGGCACGGGCACCAGGAAGGGCGGCCCCAGCCCGTGGGGGTCCACGGCCGACGGCAGGAGCTCACGGAGTGTGCGCACACCCGCGTCCGGTCCCGCCAGGCACAGCAGCAGCTCGAGCGCGTGTGGGCGGCTGGCGTCCAGGTTCGGCCTCACCCGCTTGAGGTGCGGCTGGGCGGTCAGCGGGAGGGCGGCTGACACCTCCCGGACCAGGCGGGAAGTCTGGCCCGGCTCGAGCACTGGTGCGGCATAGGCTGGCACCAGCTCCACTGGCCCGCTCTGCTGCTCGGACAGGACAGGCAGCACTTGCCATGGCAGCGGGGACGGTGACAGCTCTTGCTCTGGGCTCCCAGCCTCCTGGTCCCCATGTGGCTCCATCTTGGCCGGGCTCCGACTGTGGAGACAGAGACGGGAGCAGAGTGTCATCCGTCAGCACAGGCGAGCGGAGGAGTCCATCCCAGGAGGTGCCAGATCTGAAGGTCTTGCGAGCGCTCCAGCACCGTAAACCGCACCGCTGGGCACGCTCTCGCTCATGTCCTAACTCTCGATTTGTAGAGTTTAAACTGCCGCTGTTTTGTTTTTAATTACTTGAGATATAACTGATACACTGTACAATCTGCCCACTTTAAGTGTAAAATTCAGTGGTTTTAGTACGTTCAGAGTTGCGCCACCATTACCACTATCTGGTTCCAGAACTTCCCATCCCAAAACGAAACCCCACACCCATTAGCAGTCACTCCTCATTTCTCCCTCCTCAATCACTTGGCAACCACTAATCCACCTCCTGTCTCTGTGGGTCCGCCTGTTCTGGACATTCCCGTCGGTGGAATCAGGCACTAGCTGGCCTTCCGGGTCTGGCGTCTCTCACTGGGCGTCACGTTTTCAAGGTTCCTCCACGTCACAGCGCGTATCAGAGCCTTATTCCTCTTGAGGGCTGAGTAACACCCCGCTGTGTGGATAACAAAACGGCCACTGCCATCTGCCTTCTCAGACCCGGAGGAGATTCAGGAGCGACGGGGCAAACAGGAGCTACCAAACACAGGCACCCACATCCCCAAGTCCCAGCTTCATGTCAAGACAGAAACAGGGAAGAACAAAGTTTTAATGAAATAACCTGAGTCTCATCTGTCTGAGGCTGTTCAGCACCCCACCCACCCAGTGCCATCAGAAGCAGGGCTGCGTCACGGCCAAGAGTAACCCAGAGACTTCCTCTGACGTGGCCGACTTCCTCTGACGTG